AAGTGCTTGGAATTCCCTTTTGCGATTAATCACGTGGAAGGAAAGTGTCATTCCTAATTATTTCATTCAAGGTTCACAGACATTCAGGGGTACTTCATTTCCAGTAGCTTGCCATGTACATGTACATGTACACTCTTCTCCATGTCTTGAATCAGAATGTTGCTAACGGACAAATGATCCAAGCACTGAAGTACATGTCATTCTGAAGAGACAGTAGTATTTTGTATCGTGTGTACTTGTGGGTTGGTTTTTTTCTACTCATGTCAAAGGGACAACTTCTTTAGTTAATACTGTTGCGTATCTCTGAATTACTGTTATTCATTCTATGTTGCACTTATGCGTAAGAGTTTTCTTCATCACTATAGCATCGTTGAGTATAATGCTGTTGAATGCAGTTGAGCCTTATCTCACGTGTTGCCTCGCTGCATGATTGCCAGAGTTGTGCATCGCATTTGACCCTTGCGACCATACATGAATATGCATAGTCATTGACCTGCCCTGCGTGTCGCCGCTCTGCTCTTGCTCCGCCCTCCTGCCATGCGGGCGGGAGACACTTCCGTCGTGTACCGCAGCCAGCCTGCTTGGGCATGACCTGCACCAGCGTTGCGTCATTTCGCATTACATATGCTGTATTTGCACACACTCTGCTTAGAGACAGTGGCAGGGTAGTCCTCATTGGTTATTCTTCTAAAGAGTTGCATATACATACATGTTTATTCATGATACGGTATGAGAAGCCCGAATTCTCTTTAAAAGGCGAGGACTTCCCCACTCTTGCTGTCTCGCTCCCTGGCCTGACCACTCATTGTTGTGCGACACTGACCACGAATTGTTGTGCGGTCCGATACATGTTATGGGCAACAGAGTGTTGTGTGATTCGAGGTACATGAAGTAGCCCTATGCTCGTCCGGCACATATACATGCAGCTGTGTGGCTGGCGGAGCCTTAGCGGACCACTCCTGTTATGGTCAGTCCGTCTGACGGAACTTCCACCCCGTGGTCAGTTGTTAAACGTCACGCGTGTGCCTTGCCTGCTAGTAAATAGCCCGATACTCTTAAAGCTTAGTTGCAATACTGTGCGCTACCATGAATCAACGGATGCCACCCTTGCTACTTATTCTACTGTGCATAATCAAAGGAAGAAGTTGTGAATAACCCGGAGTCTTCCTGTCACCCCAAAGTCCTGCTTCCTGCCATGATTTTAATTGTTGATCCCGGTATTAATTAATCCCAATATGGGGGAACACGACAATATCAAGTCAGGACTGAGATACATGTGTGGACAAACACTTGTCCAGATAACATTTGTAGTCCTTACATCCATTATTTCAACATGTGCATGGTCCCCACCATCTGGTAAAAAAGCATGTGTGTCTTTCTGGTGGTGGTCAACGAGACATGGTTGAGACATCCACCCTTTCTGAAGATTGCATTCCGCCTGTGCAAGATCTGCTTTCTGGCCTACTGCAGGTGGCATGGGTGGCTAGTGCATAAAGCACTTGCCTCTCACCTGGTCCTATGTTTGATTCCCGGCCCATTGCAGGTGGCATGGATGGCTAGTGCATGAAGCGTTTGCCTCTCATCTGGTTGTGGATTCAATCCTGACCCATTGCAGGTGGCATGCATGGAAAGTGCAGAAGGGTGCTTGCTTCTCACCTGGTTCTGGAACTTCTGGGTTCAATCCTGGCCCAAGCCATACGTTCATGGAGCTATTGTTTGATTTTCCTCTGTGCCAAAAGGGCTTTTCTTTGGATCTTCTAGGTTTTTCCCACGGTACAAATCAACACTTTTAATCTCTACCTGTGCTTCCTGATCAGACAGGGGTGGTTATGCAGCCATCTAAGGGACCTCTGCATGCCTTCCGCTTAACCACACTGTAGCTGTGTACTTCGTAATTCAGTCTTGTGACAGCGAGTTGGCGTTATTAGCCAACATATATTTATTATGAAGTGCATTAAATCAACAACATTGTCAGATCATCTCGCTCCATGTTTCAAAAGCAGAATTTCCAAATTCTATTTAAAAACTTCAACCTGTACAAGAAATACACAACATCTTCTTAAGATAACTGCTTCACAATTTCTCTCTTTGACAGCTTTTCCAACAAGCAAGCGAAGAAAGTACATGTACATGCAAGTGCACAGGAGCTGGCCCTGCGGTCAATAAATACCGAAACTTTCAAAGCAACCACTTTCACTTTTCCAAGAAAACCACCAGCCAATTTATCAATTTCCAGAGGGGGGTCCGGAACCTGCATATACATGTATCTGCACATGTACATTGTACATTTACTGGTAATTCCAATTCTTGTACATGATGCACATGTACGTGCCTGACACCCCAATATGGCTTCGTGTGTTCACGTACAGTATGTACGTGTACTGTATATTACAAAGGATGTCAGACTCGGCTCAGCATTATGCATTTAACATTAGAAATGCAGGTCCTCTTTCCCCACAAAACTATATGTAATTTATCCTTAGTTTGGTGAACAATGAAATAAAGTTCCATATTTTTGCGTGCATAAAACATCTTTATTGCTGGCCTGCTGTCATAGTGATGTGTTACCACATTAAACAATAATACTGTGGGTTCAATCAGTCTAATTCGGAGTTTTGGGAGGGCCTGTAAGTGCCAGACTGTTTGGCTCTTCCCCATTTAACGAGCAAAGGTTGAAACATAAAAGATGTGCCATTTACATTCCACTGATCTACATCCGTGGACATGTATCATAAAAACGGCAAATTTCTTCAAAGGGTAGCTTCAATCAATTTGTTTGGCACAGACCTTCAAAACGCACCTCAGTGTCTCTGTTATTTTCAACCTTTGTTTCACTCTTTCAAAGGGTATTTCACCGCCTTCCATGTTCATGACCAAACAAATGTATATGTGTGCATGTAATTGGATTTTACCATCGTACACATCAGGTATTGAAACCAAGGTGAAATTTACTGCCAAACTGTACAACAGAATTCAGATACGAAACATATGTTCATATACATGTAAACATGTGCTTGAAGATATCGGGTAGGTGATGATTTGAACAAATGCAGGCCCACAGTGAAAAATATTGGAGATTTTCAGGCTCTCTGTTTTTCTCATTCTAGATCTATCGTGTGATGGACTAGTTATAGCTTTGAATGGTCCTCTGTGTACTCTTCTTGGCTGACATGTTTATACAACCCGTGTCAAGCATATGGTGGCGAGTACTCAACATCAAGTACGTTAACATGTGCATGATGTTAACACAATACATGTACAAGTTCACCAGTACAGAAGGGGGAAAAAGAAAAGTGTGCACAGTGGGCCACTGCCAAGTGAAAAAACAAATCAAATAATACATGTAACAGATAAAAATAACCAATATGAGGCACTGCCTCTTTGCCAATTCGGCGTCAATACATACACCTAGACATACATGTAAAATATCAACCAATACGTTCATTGTTTGGGTTGCCTCAAGTCAGGGCCAGTTTAATTTCCAAATGCAAGGCAAAACTTACACAATACAGAGAGAGAGTAGAGAGAGAGAGAGCGCTGCTGTGTGCTCTATGCGATAGCCCGAAGGTACTAATGAACATGGGAAGGTTGCAATTGCATGATTTCACTTGCCTTGTTAGGCAGACAATGACTCCAGTTGACTCTTGGACTTGCCATCAAAACAGGCAAAGCGGGGCTCTCTTGGAAACAGCCGGCCACAGTGTTTCATTTCCAGAATACCATTTGTGGTGTTTTATTTCTGAAATGCACGGCTTGCTTTCCTGTGGAATGCCCAACAGTCAACTGAAGGTCTGTTTCTGATATTTTTTAAAATGATCTTCCGGGGATGTACATGTACTATACTGGTACATGCTCGATATGCAAGTAAAGGTTACGGTAACATTCAATGACATTTTCATTGATGAAGATTTGATGACTCATTTTTTGGGCTGAAAATGGAAAATAAATCCTACAGTATTCCTGCTTCCTGTGTAACTTCAAAGTGGCGATAATTTGCAATGCCTCTCCAATCAATTTGTGCTGTCATATTACACAGACCGTGCATTAGCGCATACACCACACCAGAAACAGGAGACTTACATGTATGCTGCAAAACGGCAATGACCAAAACTATTCACTCTTTTGCATCCCATGTTACACATACATGTACACAAAGCGGAGCCAAAATTACAGTGTAGAAGTCATCAAGCGTAGGCATACCATACACAGACTTCATAATGAACAATCACGGCATCTGACGCTGCCTACAAGTACATGTACATGTAGCTAGAATTATGTGACTACGAGCGATGCAAAGCAGCCTGTGGCATCACTGGCGGCCACAATACGCAGGTGACACATATGAACATGAGCGCCACTTTCAGCCACAGCCAAAGGATGGCTGCACATTGGGCATGTTCTCTTCTACCCTCTTGAGTTTGACATAGCCCCTCCCCCTGCCATGTGTGCTTCACAAAAAGACAGCATATTACAGCGTACATGTACAGTGGCAGTGCTGTTCAGTACAGGCAAAGTATTTGGACTGATATGATACAGACACTTGTGTGACAAGTCAGTGAGCAATGTGTCATTCCTTCCACTTAAGATTCTTCCTGCAATTTACATAGTACATGTAACCAAAGTGACCAAACGCAAAGTTATATTCACTGTGAAGTGATAATCTTCTAAGTATTATGCCAGCTGTTATACGAGCACTGAAGCAATGGAAATGGACAAAAGGTTAACAGCCTGTTTGGCAATGTTAGCTTACGACGACTTCCCGTACCATTTTGTCCCTGTTTGTTGGCTTAGTATTTCCCAGTCCGCATTGTTTTGACAAGGCAAGTACAGGATATGGATTCACAACTGATAAGGATGGAATGGGAAGGGACTGTGTCGATGAAACCAATGGGTGCTAGCAGCTCACCCTCAAGTTACAATAACTTCATGGGTGTATGATTTTTTTCTTGTTTGATTTTTCTTTATAAAATAACGTTAGAGGAAAATCAATTGTCACGTACAGTATCCGGATGCCGGGGAGCACTGGTCAGGTGATTGTCGACCTTTACCTAAATATAAGGACAAATAAAGCCAGAAATGTTACAAACCGTCAACCACAATTTGCATGTTGCATTCATTCACACTAATACATGTGGGGTATATACAGAAATGTGAATGTTTCATGTATGGCATTCAAAAGGGCACAGTCTTCCGACTCCATAAATCTTTTGTGTTCAGGAACAGAAATGTGTGAAAAGCCGGTGAATGTGAGGATAGAGCGTGGACTGCCGGGAGAGCGGAGAAAGGAAATGGGAGAAAAAAGATAGTGGCTCACGGGGAATAAAATGGAAGTCGTCATGACACAGACTTTGAACTTCACACTAATAGGCTGATTCTGTAGTGTACTAGCTTGATGTGGTGTTAACACAGAGCTGTGGTTTTTACACCCTTAAAAACCCTCAGGGAACAATCCGTTGTCTTTTGAGATGAAGGCGGCCAATAATGGGAAAATCAACAATGACCACATCTCATCATTAACCATTTTAAAACTACAAGACACAACAAGCCATCAGCAGTCATTAATGGCAGGAACTCCTGCAAACCAGATTCAAACAAGCAAGCCAACCTGACAAAGCATGGTGGTTGAGTCATTAGGGATCTGCACTGTACATGTACTTGTAATTCACAGGAGGGTCCTGGGTTCCAGTCCCAACCAGCATGCTTGCAATTTTTTCTCAAAAGCTCTAAGTTGAGTACACAATTAGTGTTGTATTCTGGACCGCTCGAGACCAATTCAAAGTTCCCACATGACTATCACAAGGCCTCAAGTCTGCTTTCAAATCGTCAGCCATTCAAATGACTGCAACAAAAGTATTCCATTGCCATGTGACTTGCGACTGGTCCTTCAACTGAACTTGTGAATGGTCCTGAGAACATTCAAGTACGGCACTAATAAATCGTTTTGTGGTGTTCTTGTGCTACACGTACCGGGGTACAGTAGTTCCAACTATGACGCTGGTTGCAGTAAATACATGCTCTTCAAAAAGTACAAATGTGAAGGCAAAGCTTGTATTAAAATTGTTAACCATCTTTTCATAAATCATTTCTATTTGAAAAATACACAGTGCCACAGGGAAAACAGATGGTTTAGCCGGTAGTTTCATTTTGTGATTTTTGGATCGTCAGTAAAAGCCCAAACTTAATCCCGCTTCCATGGAAACATGTAATATTTTCTTAAAAGCTGACTGCTCAAAGGCAGGTGGATTGGTAATTTCCACACTAAATCATGACATGTCCTGCAGGCAGCGGATGTCCATGTATTGGCCATTCTGAATGCCTGTATACAGTACATGTGTCAGTTAGACTCCAGATTTGTTCCCTGGTGAAGTACTCGGATCAGTGTCTCTACATGTATGTATGTCTGCCCCTGAATCCTAAGCAAATATAGTGGGCATTTGACAGAAAAGTCCATGGACACAATTTTTCTTTGCTTTTCAATGAATGCTTCATGATGTAGAGTCCACAGTGGTGTCTGAAATGTAAATCATGGCAATGCCAAAACCATAACTACTTGTAATCAAACTAACTGTATATGTTACAATCATTCAATACATTACATGTACATGTAAATGTAGCTGTGAACATGTACATGTACTGTACACACAGAAGAGTAATAGACCATTCGCAATCAGGCACCAGTAGGAATTTGGGCCAAGGTTGGATACACTGGCTGATTGCTTGACACATGCATGTACACACTGTACATATACTGTACATGTACACACAGAAGAGTAATAGACCATTCGCAATCAGGCAACAGTAGGAACTTGGGCCAAGGTTGGACACACTGGCAGATTGCTTGTGCATGTGCACGTGCATGTGCATGTGCTTACATATGGCAGGCTCCTCAAAATAGGGACCATTAGATAATGTTCAACTTTGGGGGTTCATTTTTCCTGAAGTGAACAGCAGTGGATTAATTCCCAATGTCTGATGTAATGAGGGAAGTCATGGCTGATATCTGGAACAATGATGACCGTGTCCATCTTTCATCTTAATTGGAGTTGATCAATTAAAGTCTCGAACGTCAGCATTTTTGACGGATGTGAATAACCTGTTGAAATCCTAGCCAATAAAATTTTAGCAAGGAGTGATAATCCCCGTGGTTATTTTACACAGATTTATATGTGGTGACAGGTGATAATATTTACACCTATAAAAATTATAATCACGAAATTGAAAAAATACCTCTCACAATTAATCGGGTCCAAAAGTCGGCAGTCACGAACGTCATTCGATTCTGTCATTAGTGTCAAAAAAATGGACTGTAAAAAACCAGTGAGGAAAATCCAAATCCATGTACAAGACAAACTTTAAAAAAAGTGCAAAAAAGCATTGCCAAACCATCATCCTTTTATGACTGGACCGATCACATTTTCTTCAAGTACGTTTCCAAAAACTGCAGTCCAAAATACCGATCGTGGAGATTTTGCGGCTTCATTCTCTTGCAGTGCCGTTAGAGAAAGTTTCGCTGCATCATGGCCTGTTTGACCTTTGACATCAATCCATATAGTGCACCCGCGTTTTCATTCAATATTTATCAGCCCCTCCATGAAATGGCGATGCTCCGAGATTTTTCTCTTCAGAACAAGGTTTCTCAGAGAAAATTGTTCATTCTGAATGACGTTCGAAAAAAATGACGTCCGTGACATAAAATACGATTCATGACAAATATCTAATGCTCAAAGTTGTTAATTTTAGTTTAATTTTCAGTGGGGATATCTCCAAAATAAGCGGCAAAATGAACATCGCGCATGGAATTTTCAAGCACTATATGTGACAGTGTTTTCGGGATTCTCATACGTCATGCATTTTGTCAAAATTTTCAAATCAAAATTCTGTCAAAAATGGTGTTCGGAATGAACATATTGTACTCATTATAAATTTTTGATGCAGCCAAACTTAAAGTAATTTTCAATGGTTGAAAGGTATAAGACCTGGCAGATATGCTGGTATAGTGAGAGTGATTATGAACGGTAAGAGAATGAAGACAGCCAAATTTTCCTCATCATTTTCCATCAATTTTGTGCTCTTTTTTTGTGGCTTATATTTTTTAAAAGTTATTTCTTCGGTGTTTCAAAATGCATCAGTCGAAAAATATACTGAATTCTCCTTGTTGAGTGAAGTTTTGAAATTAAGTTCTCTGGTGTAAACACTTTGATGTAAAACTTTATTGAATTCAACTGCATTTGATTTGTACTAGTAGCCAACCAAATGTCCATAAAATGTACACATTATCCCTACACGTGTAATTATCCCCAAATAATCATTTTTATAAATGAGAAGGTGCTAATTTGTATTTTACATGTTCAAAGTCGCTCTTTTAGAAGTTTTGAAAAATGACATCCAGAGTTGCATTTTCGTCCATTTTATGAAGAACAAGCCATATGTATGCACTTTTTAAATCAGGGCTCTAAAACCAATCTTTTGGGATCTAGAAGACTTTTCTGATGACAGATTTTGATTCAGTTTGGCAACCATCTGCTTCATTGAAAAGTGTACATTTACTTTGATTTGAAACACAAATTATGCACTGAGCCAAAATTCTTTAGGATCTTTCCATTTTTATGAAATGAAAAAAATCAATGTCTCCACAATCATTTTGGTCATTTTTGCTATTACATTCCCTCCAACAACAAAGTCAACATGGTCACTCATAAGCCCACGAAACCAAATCCAGCCAAACACTTTCCCCACCAGTCAATATTCTCCAAAAGGCTGATGGAAACCAGGTGTGACAAACTAGATTTTCCAGTCTCATCTGGATGAATCAACACCTACCAGATGGACCAGTAAATTGACCTTTCTGTTTCCTGATAATTAGGATCATATCAATCTGTTTGGTTGGAAGACCAGCACTGATGAACCACGTTATTATTGTTACAACAATCTCAGCACATGCAGCTGTTGGTTAAGTGGCTTAGTTGCAAGTACACCCTATATGTACATGTAAGCACATAAACACCAATTAAAGGTAAACTGTGATTGTATATGGATTTGCCAGCTGTTTTAAGAAAATGGATTAGCGATGGTTCATGAATTTCTCCCTGCTGCTCTGCCATCCCAATAGGTAATCACAGCTCTGGGTGAAGGAAGAAATTAACTGGAGTAAGATTTCTCCTGCAACCTCTGGAACATTGAGCACGGCCTCCCCAAACTGAGCTACATGTATAAATTTACATGTAACTGACAGCTTTTTCAAGATGTACATTTATGTTGCACATGTACATGTACATGTAACACTTTTTACACCGTGCATGTACAGTAAAATCTCGATAAGTCGAAGCTCAGGGGAATGGACAAAAAGTTTGAGTTATCCCACGTTCCAGTTTACGAAAGTTACACGCTTCAGTGCACACGAAACCTTACTGGCTTACGGCAGTTGGCCTGCAAGCTGAGTCCAACACGGATTTTAGGCTATCCCTACTTTGCAAGTTTTCTCAAACCTCATCATTACACACGTTTTTATGTGGTACATTAATAAACAATTAACCAATGAAGTTAAATACCGGTACCTGTGTCTACGTCTTGAGAATTCATTCATTTGCTTTGCTTGATCGGGCTGTTACCGCATAACGCAGCGTGCGGGCCAGTCGGTCAGGGTTTCCGTGCTGGGTCACGTGATACATGTACAAAGCGCTTGAGGGCGCATCATTCGTGCCTGATTTATTTTACGCGAGCGGTTGATGCCCACTCAGGGCTTGTCGACGTGACAATGGCAGCCCGTGTGAACATGCTCTGCTCATCAGAGAAAAAGCCGTGCGCGTGACAGTAATGACTCATAATGAAGGCAAGCATTCTTTCATCACTTTTTATTCATCATTCTTCAGTGTTTTTTGTTTTAATTGGCCTACCAAAACTTTGAGATGAGCAGCTTTAGTGGTATTGACATTTTGAGTTACGGATAGTTTATTGCACATAGAGGCCTATTCTTTTGTCGGGGAACACAGAAAGACGTCGAGGTAAACAGAGTTTCGACTTAATAGGCTTTGACTCATCGAGATTTTAC